AAAACACAGGCTCAGTAGATGTGGTACACAGGCTTAGTTGCTCCACAGCATGTGGGATCTTCCCAGACCAGGGCTTGAATCCATATCCTCTGCATTGGCAGGCTGATTCTTACAATCACTGCCACCAGGGAAGCCCTGAAGGTATTTTTATTTCATCTCCTGGCTCCCACTGTTGCAATTTTGAAGTTGGCTGTCAGTCTAATTGCTGTTCCTTTGTACATGGTCTGTCTTTTTTCTCTGGCCTTTAAGATTGTATAATTTCACTGTAGTGTGTCTAGGGATACCCAAATATTTTATTTTGTTTTGTTTTTTAAGATGTCTTCGTTTATGTTGGCCAATCTATCAGTCCTTTCCTGAGATTCTTTTCTATATGGTTGAGCACAGAGAGCCTTGAGCTGGAGCACACTATTAGTTTCCTGCAGCTGCTATAACAAAGGACCACAGACCGGGTGGTTTAAAACAGAAATTTATTGTCTCACAGTTTAGGAGGCCAGAAGTCTGAAATCAGGGTATCGGCAGGGGCATGCTCTCTACGAAGCTTCTAGGGGAAGATCCTTCCTTGCCTTTTCCAGCTTCCAGTAGGCTCAGGTGTCTATTGGCTTGTGGTTGAATAATTCCAGATCTCTGCTCTGTCTTTACGTGGCCATCTTCTTTCTGTGTCTTTGTCTAAATTCCCTTTTTCTTATAAGGACAGCAGTCATATTGGATTAAGAGCTTACACTAATAGCTAATTCCATCTGCAATGTCCCCATTCCCCTGGCCTCACATTCTGAGGAGATTAGGGCTTCAACATGTCTTTTTAGGGGACACAATTCAACCCACAACAGACACATTAGAAATGAAGTCATCATGCTGTGTCGGGGAATTACAAAGTCTTTTTGAAATATCAGACTTTTCTGCTTTTCTGGCAGTGTTTTTTCAAAGGGTCAGACAATGCACTGGATAGACTGATGGGGTGGGGTGGGAGGCGTGGATGAGGATTAGAGCTGGGGGGAGAAATGGGGAAGGATGGGCAGATCTGGGGGAGATGGGGCAGGATCTCAGAGGTAAGTGGACATGAATTTGTAGTGACAGAGCTTCTTTTTAGTGGAACTTCTTGGTTTAGGTGGTGGATATTTTTGTCTGAAGACTCAGAAAAATTGTCCTGAGAAAGATCGTTGCTTGTGACACTTATTCTTTTACTACGTGAGTCATTATTTTTTCCTTCTCAATGAGCATTATTTGAGATAAATAATTTATTTTTAAGGAGCAAATCAAACTAGATGTATGTCATAATGCTGGACACGATGGAGTATTTGAGGCAGATAACAGCTTCTTTCTGTTTTTCTTGTCTGGATGAGGTTTATGGAAATGAGCCTCCTCCTTCTGGAGACTCTCAGTAACTTAGCGATAATTGTGTATTCCTGCCAGTGCCATGTATGCCTAAACCATACTGCATTATTTTTGGTATTCAACCTAATAAGGTTACTTATCATGCTTGTGTTTAAATCACATGAAAAATTCAAATCATGTACAGGGTTATTTTCTCTCTGTATATGAAAGTACTCTCTTCTTTCCTCCTGCTGTGGGCTCTCGAATCTTCTATAAGTGAATTGGTGAAATGTCCTAAAACCTGTTTTTTACAGCATCACACCACTGGCAAGACATCTTGCTTCTGATTTCAGTAACTGTGGTGGAGTTATTTAACCCTAAAGGCCACAACTTGACAAGGTTTGTTGGCATTTAATGATCTAGTGCTTTTCTTTTTTTTCCTTGTTTTTTTTTTTTCCTTTCCTTCAGGATCCTTGGACTCCAGAATTAAAATTGAAGTTGGAAAAGTTTCTGGCTTTAATTTTTAAAGCCAGTAACACGCCGAAGCTTTTAACATTATATGTATCCTTTTGAAGCATATGGAGGCCACCTATGGTATTAGAGCAGCTCACTGGCCTAGATGTCCTCAAATAGGGATAGTTGTGGTTGTGCTGCTTTCATACTTAAGAGCGAATTAAGCGTTAATGGCAGCGTGTGCCAGCCAGTCCGCGGCCTGTTAGGAACCGGGCTGCACAGCAGGAGGTGAGCGGCGGGCGAGTGAGTGAAGCTTCATCGCCGCTCCCCATCGCTCGCATCACCACCCGCACCATCACCCTCATCATCCGTGGAAAAATTGTCTTCCATGAAACCGTCCCTGCTGCCAAAATGGTTGGGGACCACTGCTGTAAAGGATTAACTTCTATGGCGTTGGGTCTCTGAGACGTGGCGAGGGTCCGATGTTCATATCATGTGCTGAGAAGCTGTCTGAGTAGGAAAAAAAAAATGTCTGTCTTCTTGAAAAATAACTCTGGAAGAATTGTCCTTCGCAGAAGATCAGCTAGTCACTTTTAAGGCCTTGAGGCCGTGGCGTATGGACAAGTCATATATAACTTGTCACTCAAATTAGGACTTTTTCCAGTTGCGGAGCACAGGCTCCAGACGCACAGGCCCAGCGGCCATGGCCCACGGGCCCAGCCGCTCTGTGGCATGTGGGATCTTCCCGGACCGGGGCACAAACCCGCGTCCCCTGCATTGGCAGGCAGACTCTCAACCACTGTGCCACCAGGGAAGCCTCAAATTAGGACTTTTAAAAAACAACTTTATTGGGACTTCCTCGGTGGTCCAGTGGTTAAGACTCCATGCTCCCAATATAGGGGGCCCGGGTTCGATCCCTGGTCAGGGAACTAGATCCCACATGCCGCAACTAAAAATCCTGGGAGCCACAACTAAGACCTGGCACAGCCAAATAAATAAATAAATATGTTAAAAATAAATAAATAGAAACCAACTTTACTGAGGTATAATTTACACACTATGAAATTTACCCATGGTAAGTGCATTATTTAATGATTTTTAGCAAATGGATAGAGTTGTGCAGCCATCACCACAATCCAATTTAAATAGGGACACTTTTGAGAGTAAAAAGGGAACACTGACCGGACAGAGGACCAGGCAGCAGGTGTAAATGGCGCTTGTCCAGGGAAGAATGTCACGGATCGCCTGGCCCGTGGGAGGCTGATTTCCCAAAGCTCGTGGGTCTCTAAGGACGTTCATCTCCTTTTATTCTGAACAAGAATGTATCAAAAGTTATTTCATAACAAGAATATAGCATTTTGAATTGTAAGGTTGGTGTTTGTTTTGTTTAATTTAATAAAACATTTAGGCCACTGTGCTGCCTAATACCTTCTGCTTCCGTTCTAACTCCAAAGCACTGGACTCTCTTTTCCTAATTGAACGCTTTGAATTGAAATCCCTGGGATTTCATGGCATGTTTCTCCTGCTTCAGCTTCCTAAGCCTCCAGTGGCTCCCTGTGGCCTGTACTCAAGTCCTCAGCCTCGCCTTGAGACCGCCCACCATCGGGCTGAGTACAGCTCTCCTCTCTGCTTTTATATCCTTTAAGGTTTTGTTCCAATACTACCCTCTGCCCACATACCATTACGTTTGCATACCCAATTCTTTTCCCTCTTAGAGTTCCATATAAAAGGACAGTTTTCAGTGAAATTAGGACTTTTCCAACTTGGTTTATGATTACTTTAATACACTTTTAAAAAGCGTTTCTCCTTAAAAAGGTAATGGGAATTATGTAAAGATTCTAAAAGAAATTTTTTACATAGTAAATCATATTAGTTATATTAATAATAGCACCCATTTCATTGGAATAATATGAGGATTGAGTTAATACATGAAAAACTTGCTTAAAACAGCCCAACACATGGAAGCGCTTGTGTTACTGACTGTTAGCTGTTAGTATTATAGTTTGCAAATAGTTGTTACCTTTTATCCTGTTCAACATGCTTTGAAGCAAATACACTGAAGTCTAGCAGGTAACTATAGGCATTATTCCTTTCTTTTCCTTGTTATGTGGAAATATTTGGAGTTCAGTTCAACGCATATATTAGGTTGAATATTGTGCTAGGAATTAGGGACACAAAGAAGAGGCCAAGACATAGTTGTCTCAGGCAAGTTGGAGTTTTGAACAGTAAAATGGGAGTCTGTGAGGCAGACAGAATGAGGGACAGGAGTTCCAGGTAGAGGGAACAGCTCGTGCAAAAGCACTGAGCCTGTATGTTTGGGAAACTATGAAGCATTCAGTATTGCTGGAGCAGAAGAGTTGAGAGAGAGTCAGAGATTAGGCAGGCCCAGGGCACGAAGGTTCCTGTGAGGTCCCGTAAGTAATGAGGAGCCTTTGAACCATTTTAAGAAGAAGAATAACATGGTTATGTTTACATTTCTAAACAAACAAAAAAACACTCTTTTTTTTTACTCCTGATTATAAAATTGATCATATTCCTTATAGAAAATTTGGAAAGCACAGAAATGCATTTGTGTACATACATACACCCCAAACTATGTAATGTTTGCAATAAACGAGGATAGACAGCTATATGTATGTGTATTTTTAAATATTTTTTATCAAATGAGAGAATTTCCTCATATCATTAAATATTCTTCAGAAATAGGTTGTCTCCTCAAAGTTTAAACATAGAAATTACCTACGTCCCAGCAGTTCCACTCCTAGCTGTATACTCAAGAGAAATGAAAGCATATGTCTACACAGCAACTTGTACATGAATGTTCATAGCAGCATTATTTGAAATAGCTAAGAAGTGCCAACAACCCAGATGTCCATCGACTGATGAATGGATAAACCAAATGTGGTCTGTCCATATAACGGAATATTATGTGGCAGTAAAAGTGAGTGAATTACTGATCTGTGCTACAACATGGATGAATCTTGAAAGCATGAGGCCAAATGAAAGAAGCCAGACCCAAAAGGCTGCATACTGTATGATTCCATTTGTATGAAGGGGCCAGAGGGGGCAGATCTACAGAGAGAGTAGACAGTGGTTGCCTAGGGCTGGGGAAGGTGGTGACTGCTGACGGGCACAGGGTTTCCTTTAGGGGGGATGAAAATGTTTCACAGCCGATTGTAGTGATGGTTGCACAACTCAGTGAATGTACTGAAAACCATTGAAATGTACACTTTGAATGGGTGAATTATATAATATGTGAATTACATCTCAATAAAGCTGTTACCAGAAAAATTAAGAAAACCCAGGGACTTCCCTCATGGCGCAGTGGTTAAGAATTTGCCTGGCAATGCAGGTGACACAGGTTCAAGCCCTGGTCCAGGAAGATCCCACATGCCGCAGAGCAACTAATCCCGTGCGCCACAACTACTGAGCCTGCGCTCTAGAGCCCGCGAGCCACAACTATTGAAGCCCACGTGCCACAGCTACTGAAGCCCGCACACCTAGAGCCCGAGCTCCGCAGCAAGAGAAGCCACCGCAATGAGAAGCCCGCAACCAAGAGCAGCCCCCGCTCGCCGCAACTACAGAAAGCCTGCGCGCAGCAACGAAGACCCAACGCAGCCAAAAATAAATAAATAAATAATTTTTTAAAAAAAATTAAGAAAACCCAAATAAAACAGGTAAACACCTTGCCATCAGACATGCAGCCAGATGTGTGGAAGCTGAGATTTAAACCCAGGAGGCAGTCTGGTGCCAGAGTCTGTGGTTGTAGTTACCGCACCATGCTCTTTTCATCCCATTCTCAATTTCCTTAGGCTAACGTTTTAGCACTGAAGTTACAGCGTTAAAGGGTATGAATTCAGATTTGCACTTTTAGTCAAACGTTTTGGTAGCTGTGGGGAAGGTTTTCGAAGGGGGAAGGAGGCCACTTAGGGGCTGTTGGACTCACAGAGTGGTTCTTGAGGTGCATAGAGGAGGCTTTATCTGTGAGTCATGAGTCACCCAAAAATCGCGAAGTTGGTAACTGTCTTAGTTATTTATAGCAACATTAAGAAGCGCCCTTCCCTGTCCTGAGATTTCTTTTTTACCACACTGGGGCTCTTTCTCAGATTGGCCAACACAATGTGAGATACCCTGAGTTCTGCCTCCTGAATGCCTGTTTTCCTGAACTTCTTTCATCCCAGAAGGAGAATGGACAGAGCAACAAAGGTAAATCATCTAGATGAAAAATGTTAAATCACAACTTTGCCAACTTGAGTTTTAAGTAATGAAATGGAGAGAATTCCGCGGACTTGGCAAACGAGGGCTTTAAAAATCTAAATATTTATGAAGTGCTTTGTAGTCCTTTTTATCTGCGTTCCTTGAGACTCACTTTTCAGGGTGGCTGGTATTGTTAGCTTTGTCTTGTATGTCAGATAACTAAGACACGGAGAAACGACGAGAATCCAAGCAAGTGCCAGAGGGACATAAGTGCAGCAGCACAGTTAGAAGACGCAGTACAGCATGGGTGGGGAAAGAG